GAACAATCTACATATATGAAACACACACACACACTGAGCCAAAGACCAGTATCCAAGTAACTAATGAATGTACTGTAATTCTCTTGGGTGACAGAGGTTGTTTAGACACTTGCTATTGTGAGCAGAGTGCATTTCATTAACACAACTTCAGACCTCTGTGTGTACAGCACTCCAGCTCCTCCACAAACCTGACGCTCTAATGAGAACAGAGGTGCTGAATACACACGCTGACCAGCCGTCATGGCAACAAGACCATCTTACAGTACATGTGTACCCCAGAAGAACAATGGCTATGTTTGCAGACAGTTAGAGACGCTGGTGTCACTGTGGGTGCTGCACTGTGCCATCCTTCCTTCAAACTGACCGCTGGCTTGGATTTCAACATCAGAGCGCTGCCTAATGCCAGATTTTGGGGAAACACACCTGAGCCCCATCTCTAACACTATGCTAAAGAAATGCTGTGATTGGACCTGTGTGATGAGTCACACTTCCAGCTGTGCTGGACCAACAGCAGAATTCGGCTTTATCATGTCAGCTGGGAACTGTTCATTCATTTTGGAGATGAATTCATGATGTACTCGCTCATTATATACATTTTGCAAATTTTGAAGTTACATAGTGCTGCTTTAAGGACCTATAGATGGACATGACAAATTCTTCAGTACACTGTTAAAAAAATTACCACAATTTTAATAGTAAAAGACTGTAAAAATGTTACAGAAAAAACAACAAGTTTCCATACTATAAATGGTGAATAACTGTGATTACATTTAATGTACTTTTACCGTAAAATGCTGTTAAATTTACGTTTTTTGGAATTGAAAAAGAACAAGGCATTGAATAATCTAGAGTGAAAAAAACGTAAATAAGTTTTTTTTTTCCTTTTTGTGTTTGTGTGTATGTGTCATGTGTATGTTCCTGTTGGGTTCCTGTTTTCCTTATTTGGTCCTTCCAGTTCCTTTTCACATTATTAGTATCACCTGTTCCTTGTTATTAGTTATCCCCATCCCCTGTCTGCCCCTCGTTATCTACCCTATTTAGTTCTAGCCCATTCTGTTCTCCCTTGTCTGGAATTGTATGTCAATAGGCGTGTTTCCATTACAGATTTGCGCAAAACTTTGGCGATATTTTATAAATGTCGATAAAAAAGTATTGCGAAATTGAGGCGTTTCCATTAGGCGTATTTTCAATTCGCAATTTCAATTTGCACAATTTGAAGGGTAATGGAAACGCGCCTACTGTCAACTCTTTTTGCTATGTGTGATTCCCCGTGATTGAATTAAACTCCTTCGTTTTGTACTCCTGGTCTCCTCGTTCCTCGCTCCTCGCTCCGTGCTCTTCACACTACCACCGACCGTGACAGTATGAGTGTGTGTGTTTTATGTTGACTTTAAAGTGGACTGTTTAGTTGTTATAGTGTGTCAAATAACACAATTACAAAAACTGTACTGTGTAATAAAAATACATATAAATATATAAAAATAAAAATGTAGTAATTAAGATTTTATTTTACACTACAAGTTCAAATACTAATATTTATGTCTTTATTCATTTAAACCTTCAAACCTTCAAGCATTAATCATCAAATCCTCAAGCTTTTATTTTGGCAGAAATTCTACTGAAATGCTGTGAACATCTGTCCACAATAATATTAGAAATTATGAAAGCGTGTAAAAAATAACAAAATAAACCTAGTACACATCGTGTTCTCAAATTCCCATTAAACTCATAACACGTGCACAGATGGAGTTTTCTGGAGATTGTTTTTTTCTGTGAAACAATAACTTGAGTTGTAGCCTATATGAACACTGTTCTGGGTTTCACTTTGAAACACATAAAGCATCAGACTATACAGATATTTCATTAAATTGTAGCTTTTGTTTTGATAACCACACTAAGCTATATTGCAATTATTGTGCAGCCACATTTATATATTTTAATTTCACATAGATAGAATTAATTATCTTTTCATCAACTCACAATGTCCTTGCAGTTCCTTCGCAAATCCCTAATTGGAAGACTGTAAATTCAGATGTATATATCTGCTGCATCTCAAAAACTTTGCTACTGCTTTTTACCACTTAATTAGGAGCACCACAATTAAATTGTGTCATCTGTTCTAAAATTGCTTAGAAAAACATGAGTACTACAAACTTCTTGGAATCTCACATACTGGAGAAGAAAAAAAATGTGACACTGGCATATTAAAATAACCCGTAGCTGATCTATACAGGTGGAGCTGGGGAAGGTGGAGGGTTTCAGAGAACTCTCTGAAAGAACTCTCTGAGAAAGCGCTCTGCAGGAATCTCAAGTGAATGCTAGCCAGCCATATAAATGCAAGGCAGTAAGCTCATTGGCTGCATATACAGCATGAACCAATCAGCTTGTGCCAAGTCGTTTAACTCTCTGAATATCATCAGTTACGTTAACACCCCGTCAGAATGCACCATCTAGAGTTTCATGACTGAACTATATATTTAATTCAGCAGTCATTAATAATCTATTCAAATCTAATCTACATGTCTCAATTTCATTACATGTTTTTACAATGCAATTACATGTTTCATGGAAGAAAGAAAGTCATACAGGTTTGAAACAAAATGAGGGAATTAAGAAGGCTTTTTGATAAACTTATCTTTTTAATTAAAATAAATAAATAAAACAGACTGCCTACAGCTACAGGCTAATTTTAGTCTGACAATGCAGCACTTCAATCTCAACTCATCCTCATGTCTGGGCTTTTAACAGGAACTCTCTTCATTAAACATGCATCTATTATAGCCTCTATTTACAGCTAGAGCTCAACAACAATATGCAGGTATATAATTGTATGCATATTGAAACCACCCCCTCATATCATGCAAGTTAATTATATTGTTCAGTTCACTGTACATGGTTTTTCATAGACAAAGGGTGTAGTGGGTGCACACCTTATAAAAAATATAATACTAATTAATCATGATCAGATATGAGACACTGCATGGACTGTTGAGCAGTGTTTATAGTCCACAGTAACTTAAAAACAATAAGTATAGAACTGAAATCAAATTGTATTCTACAAATTACAAAATATTCTAAAATGCCTACAATATGTTTACCACTGGACATTGTACATGTAGGTATGGCCACATGAGGGCGCTCTTAAATCACTCACTGTGTGTGCAGACTCCATGCTTTTTAATAATAACAATATCTCATCAGCCAAACTGCATACAAAACGTCTGCTAAGACTTAAGACCTAACAAAGCTATGGCTGAAGATTACAAACAAGAAGCATTAAGCACAGCATTGAGGACAGACAGACAGACAGACAGACAGACAGATAGATAGATAGATAGATAGATAGATAGATAGATAGATAGATAGATAGATTTTAAATGCAACTGGAATTTAAAATGTTGAGAAAGCTCAACATGTCTGCAGATATGGTGAAAACTATAAAGTTGGTCAGCTGAGATAATTATAACCGCAAGGAGGTCAGAGCCACTGCCAGACATGCAAATCAAATGAAAAACACAGACCAATTAATTTCTGCCTTGTGGACCTTCATCATACGCCACATGTTCGAACCCATTACAGAAGAGATGAATTCATATTGCAAAGGTGCTATTAACAAAGGGAGCGTGTTTGTGTATGTAGTTTGTAGGTGTAAAATACTTTTTTTTTACTTGATAGTGCATTCAGAAAGTATAGTCAGACCTCTTTGTTTTTTTCATATTCTTTTATGTCGCAGCCTTCTGCTTACACTTTTTCACATCAATCTACACTCCATACCATAACATGACAAAGCAAAAAGCACACTCCAGTCAAAGTGTAGTAAAAATCTTACAGACAATCCAGAGAAATGGGATGAATCTGAGCTCATTTTTAAAGGGGTATTTTTTTTTCTAGGCTTGATTGTGCTTATGGGGTGCAGTCTAACATGTGTTAATGCTTAAAAAAAACATTATTTTTCATTTACATTTGCATTTATTAATTTAGCAGACACTTTTATCCAAAGCGACTTACAATTGAGGAGTACAATAAGCGATTCGTCATAAAGAAGCAAATAAACGCAGGAAGTGCTTGCTATACAAAGTTTCAGGCATTGTTCAGATTAGTACAAGCTAGCCAGGGAGAGATTAAGGGAAGAGAAAGCAAAGTTTTTTTTATAATTTTTTTTTCACATAATTTACCTTTATTCTGCACTGCTCTGTCCTTTCTCTTATGAATGCTTTGATGATTTCCTGGTTTTATGAAGCCCCTCTCTCAGAAATACGCAATGGGCTCAGTTAGCTGGCCCAGTGTGTTGTGATTGGCTAAACCGCCTCTAGTGCGCGTGCAGAAACATCACGCCCCTTACCTCAGAGGCATGTGCTCTGGTTGTATTGTGAACAGTGGCATCGTCAATATTGCTTATCAATTTGAGCCCGATTGAGAATATGAGAGCATGGCAACAACTCTTCCTCTTTATCGAAAGCAGCGCAATATGGCCCCGCCCCTTTTGTTGCATGTTCCCGGGGGCGGGGTTTATGTAAATTTCAGGATTTGTGATGTCACCACCCCGGGAAGTAACTCGTTGTAGTCCATACGAGCCGTAATTGTAGGCATTAAACTGCCGTAATTTTAAAAGACAATATCTCTGCTTGCATTGAACTTTCAGCGTCGTAACTTTGCAGATATTGTTTATGCTCAAACAGCTACATTACACACTAAGTAAGGTTAAAAAAGTGAAATCACAATCAACCACCCCTTTAAGTGTAATAGCATGGCACTTATGTCAGTGTGATGTTTCAATGTTTTCTTTTTAATAAATGTAGGGTATGATTGTAGGGTATGAAAAAATTATTTAAAAAAAATAATAATAATAAAGCATTTTACCAGAAGTCTGCAACATAAAAGGTGAAAAACTGAATACTTTTTGATTGCACTGTACTTGATTGAATCATACTGAATTATAATTTAATGTACAGAGCTCCATATAGTCGGATAACATGCTCAGAAAGTGTTGAGTATAAGACTTACTTTGCTTTGGCGCCAGCATCATCATAGCCTTTGTTCGAGACATCGTCCAGACCTCCAATCAAGTGTTTGAAGGACCTGCGGATGCGAACAGAAAATTTGATTACTTTCATCCGTTCTATTTATAAATGCCCTCCAATGTAAAGGAAGTAAAGGTTCTGGGTGGATACTGGGTCGATTCAAAATGGTTTTGTCTTCATGATTTAATCAGAAATTCATACTGACCTAGTTTTATGAATGAGGCCTAACGAGCACTATTAAAAAGAAAAAGGTCTACACTAATTTTCCACTATTTTTTCTTCATTTTCCATATAGCCTTTTGTGGGCTGATACAAATGTTCAATTAATAGTTCTGGCCACTTGCATATTATCAAGAACTATTTCAGATTAACTTGTCCCTGGTCATGAGCCACAATAGTTCAAAGCAAAAAATGATATGCAAGTCAGAGAAAAGACAAGATTAAGGTAGTGTAATAAATGAGCACTTGCATCATCAAATTAGCAACAGCACAATATAAAATTAGGGGGGAAAATGTTGGAAAGTTTCTAATGAAAAAAGAATGTTGATTTATGTAATTTTCAATACTTTATATACTAATGCACTAGGTCTGCAAACCATCTAAGGTTTAGAAATGGCATCTTTGCAAGTTTGCACTAAAGTGTAATTTTAATTAAAAAAATGTTAGACTGACACCAAAATGAAACAAACTGTGCCATTTCAGGAACCATTTGTATTGAATAATGCCATAAACAGACAATTATCATTTAGGAACAAAGAATCTGACTACAAGCTGTGTAGATCTATGATCTGCACAGGACAGAGTCAATCACAACACAGTGCATCCCAAATGCTTTTCATCCCATTAAACTTCCAGCCGTTCATCATCATTTGAAGGAAAGACATCTGTGGCTTTCTCTCTCCCATCTGTTTAGAACACATAGAACATTTTGTTCTGCTTCTAGAATAAGACAAGGATTTGGCTTGCAAAACCTGAAGATCTGGGTCTGGGACATGGAAGAGTAGAAGAATAAAATGTCTACATGAAAGGCATTTCAATAGCAGCACAAATAAATAATGAGGGATATAGTAAAAAGGGATATACCAAATATATATATATGGTCCACCAAGTCATTCTCAAAGTGTATGAGTTTTTACTTGAACTAAAATGTATTTTCTTCCCTAATGTCCCTCTTTTTTTATTTAACAGTTTATTCAATATACACTGAGTCAGTAAGGGAGGAGTCAATAGGATTCAACTCTCTGTATTATGTTAATAGTTTTGTGATATTCAGAGAAAATATATCTCCTTCACTCTGAAAAAAATAAAGGTTCTTTACTGGCATCTGTGGTTCAACGAAGAACCTTTGTCATTTCCACTGGACCATAAAGGCTCTTTGTAAAACATGTCTTCAGATTATTAAAATGGTCATAACACTAATAAAAATGGTTATTTGGGGAACCAAAAATTGCTTTTACATGGCAAAGATGTGGCTCAGAGGTTCAGTTTGGAGTCCAAGTCTTTACAGGTTTAAGTCAAGTCTCAAGTAAATTTTTTGCAGCTTAACTGTGATTTTAAGTCAGACAGTTCTTCATGTTTCCATCTCTGTCACCAAACTATTCATTCATCATTAGCATATAAATAGTTGAGTTGCTTTAAAAATGGAGTGTCCTAATCAGGCCTGATGTGATAAATCAACAAGAAAGTTAAATTGAGTATTTATCCTATAACCTACTTACTTTTCCTCAAATTTCATGTAGATTTCATTTGATATATTCAATCTAGAGTCCTTTTTTTTTAAAATAGAATTGTTTTGCATACATTAAGAAAGTAAATATGGGTCAATTTTATTTTCATGTTGATTTGAAACTCCTGCCTTCATCTAATGTCATGTCATAGCTTGCCAGTAGTTGAAATATGTCATCTCTTACTGCAATACATAAAAAGAGCTTTTATTTTTTTTCCCTGTCCTCTTATTAAATCAGAGAAATATTTTATGTTGCTACAGGATAAGAGATGAGAGGGAACCAGTAATAGTGCTCATTACAACAGCTGCTGTGCTTCAGGATGTGACTCATCCACCCGAGAAGTCTCACATTATCTCATATTTTTATTAGAACTCTGAAGGAACATCGAAACTAAAAGGGAAACAATCATTTTTACGGTTACAAGCGGAAATGTAGGATTAACTGAAAGCTTTAAATTGTAATAGCATCATGTTACCATGATTTATCCAGTCTTTTGAGTCTTGGCAGCTGAGGTCAGGCAGGACAGCGGTAACTCGAGCCATAATAATGATTTGATGGACAATTCAAGTGTGAATGACTTTATATCACTGCACTGCTGACCCATTTAATGATGTATTCTTAGCACAGTCCCAAGTGAAGCCCCAGAATTAGTAGCAGAAATGTTCTGGGGGTGTGAACCCAAAGTCAATCATGTGCACTTACATTTCTGCCATTAAAATACTACTTCACTGAGATATACGCTATTTCAAAGGTCATTCAGTTCTTTGACTCGGATCTTAAAGGTGAAGTCTGTAATTTCTGCTTCACTAGCAGAACCAAACATAACTGCAAAAATACTGCTTTAATGCACAACAAGTTAATGGGTCCATGACAAATGAGAGAGTCTAAAATTTATCGGAAAACCCTATCATAAATCTAGTTTTAAAATATAATATTAAAACTCATGTTGATTTCATATGACTTTAAAATATATATATTTTCAACAAAAAGCTTTAAATTCATTTAGTGTATTTATTTATTTATTTATTTATTTAATAAGCTTTAATATTAAACAAAAAGCTTTACAAAGACCCCAACAATGTCAAATGGTGTAACCATCATTATAATATGTGACCCTGGACCACAAAACCAGTCATAAGTGTGCTACTATTTGTAGCAATAGCCAACAATACATTGTATGGGTCAAAATGATTGGACAACTTTAAATGCAATTTTCTCAATAGTTAGATTTTTTTGCACCCTCAGATTCCAGATTTTCAAATAGTTGTATCTCGGCCAAATATTGTCCTATCCTAACAAACCATACATCAATGGAAAGCTTATTTATTCTTATTTATTCTTTATTATTATTAAAAAAAAATTACCTTTATGACTGGTTTTGTGGTCCATGGTCACATATATAAAACATATTGTCCTTACATATTAAGTATGTCAGTGTACAAGTTTTTAAAGCATAGCCTATTTTTTTTTATACAAATGGTATTTATTTTACAAATATGAATTATTCTTACTTAAATATCAAGTGTTTCTGAAATATTGTAGCATATGATATTATAATGCATATAAAAAACTGCTTTAATGTTTTTAAAGAATAATATAATATAATATCATATCATATCATATCATATAATATAATATAATGCTTTTTTCTTTATTACGATTTCATTTTATGATTTTTTTTCATGCCTAAAAGATATTATAAAATTTTTTTTTAATTAAGAAATTAAAAACATGTATCACAAAAGTTTATATGAATTTAATTTTGTATGTATTTTCTAATAAATTATTAGAAAAAAAAAAAAAATGACCGTAACACTGAGTAATTGTTTGCCAAATTTATCCAGTTACAGTAGATATTTCTTTCCGCCAACGTAAATCTTTTCAAACAATAAAACAGAGTATGTGACCGGAATGAAATGACAGAATTTCCCCTTTCTGCTCAAAACGTGCTTTAACTTTTTTTCTTCTGAAATCCCTATGGATAAAATGAAAGGTACAAATACTTCCCCATCCCAAGCTGATAAATAGTGAGTCTTACTGTTGTGCTCTATTCCTACAGGAAATCAGCTGCATGAATCAGTGGTTAAAATCCCCACTGATCACAGGTCAGCTAGCATACAATTTAACAACAACAAGAGTCTTTTAATGAGCATTACCATAAACCCCTGACTGACGACAGGGCTGAGATAATGGGCGAATTCCTGCAGTGAGAGTGAAATACAGTTTGCATGAGGGGTTGCTTATTATATCGCTTCCTCAGACCGAAGTAAAATCAAAGTCTCTAGAGTACGATGTCTACAGAGACGAGAGGAGGTCTACGAGTCCCGCTGCGCAGCGAGGCATTGTGCTCCTACTGTTTTGTCACACGCTGTGCCACTCAAATGAGGACATTTTTCCAGACAGTCTGCTGTCTAAGGATGGCAAACGAGAAGAAATGGCTCCCTGAAGTTAACTGGCGTAAACTAGCATGAACTTGCCACAGTGAAAGTCGTATGAGGTCATTAGAAATTAGCAGCGGTAATTTAGTGAGCACACAGTGGAAAAGATGAAAGACTAATCAAATTTCACAGCATCAGTACACACATACACACAACTCACTCTCTGTCGATGACGAGGCAGGTGACAGCTTCAGCGGCGATGACATTAGCCGTCCTGATGTCTTCTCTGCGGAGACACAAAGAATACATGTCAATCATACACAGCCCTATAAAGTCTATAATGTATTTATCTTTGAATAATTACTGAATTGCAATATAATTTCATTAGAGGATAATAAGAAGGAAACATAGTGTCTCATAAATGAGTTTGTTTCCCTTTCCAGTCAAATACCTTAATTAAAAATACTGGAGGAAAAAAAATTAGCAGTTTTAAATTAAACTGGGAACATTGGTTAAGCAGCACATGCTCTCTTCAATATTTGAGAAGGTCCTCTTTATACATAAAAGTCCCTATAGTCTTTGTTATACAGCACGAGAGCGGCCTAGAGGCGGAACTCACTGACAGCACGTGCAGTTTGTTTAGACAAGTGATACTGCTCGCTGCACAGAGCACTTCAGAGGAGGGTTTAAAACATCGACAATGAAACGGTGTTTGTACACAGTATACTGTAGTGAATGTTTTCATATCATTACTAAGTGATTAATTTGTTGACTAGATTTTATTTTCTGTTCAGTATCTATTTTAAAAACTATCGGTTAATTAACCGGTATCGGCCAGTGTGGTCCAACCTAGGTATCAGTATCAGTAAAATCCAATATCGGTCGACCTCTAATATTACTGATAATATTTGTTTTATATTTTTGAAGTGCCACATAATGTGAGATTTAGCATTAAATAATCAAAATAAAATAATCAAATGAGATGGTTATTTATTATATAAAACATTTTTGTTGAATTTTCAGCAAAAATAGCTATTATAAAAAAAACACAGCTACTGCGATATAAAATCTTATACCGTCATAATTTAATCCAAAAGTTTGCTTGCATATACTTTAAAGGTTTGATTTCAGCCAGACTAAAGTAATAATTTGTATTTTTATAATGTCATGTAAAAGCTTTAGCCCAATTAAAATCATACCAGTCCGATTTTTATGAAGTTGAACTAAAAATACCTAATGGGACTGTAGCTCAAAAAAAAAAAAAAAGTCAGATAAAATATGCAGTTTAATCCTTTAAATCATTAATCAATTATGCATTGTGTCATGAATAGCCTACTGGGATAGACAGATTAAGACTGTAGCTCAACTATTCACTCTAGCTTGTTAATAATTGTGTATGTAAATGTACTTCATACGAGGAAAACAACCAATCAAGATCCATTATACTATTTCAGAAAAATTAGCATCCATAGAACATAATTCTTCCTAATCAGTGACAAATGGAACAGTGTTAATCATCAGCCATTATTATTGTAACGCATTTTTCATCGCATGGCACAGCGTAACCCAAAAATTCATCACTGTAAGGTTTCTCACATCACAAAACACACACAGCAAACAACAGTGTCTGTGGCATTACTCAGAATGGTTGCCCTCTGTGTCACTGGAGTCTTCCTCACCACAGTCTGACAAACATTCACAGGAAGTGAAGTCCATGTCTACAGGAAGGATGAAGTCATAGACTGTCCTCTTTGTGGCTGGCCTGAACTTCAACAGTGTGTGGGTGTGTATTTTGTGCATGTGGACCAGAATTCTGAATGACAGCTCCAAGCAGCTGCATACTGCCAATTCACAATGACCAGGTGGGAATGCTGATTGCCTTCACACACAAACAGGAAGTGCCTCATAACTCTTAACCCAGGTTTAACGGAACAAGCCAGGCTCATTGGAAAAACATGCAAATGAAACAACACTTTCAAACTGAGTGAGAGGCGGTAAAAGCTCGTTCAGTTTTATCCGAAACAGACGAACGTGAATCTGGCAACGTTTTATTGTGTTGGTTGTTGTACAGATCATGCCAGTTCAGAAATTAAATGTCCGGTGAGTGGCGCTAATAGATTAATGCTCTATTGCATTTGAAAATAACGTAGAACCTACGTTAAACCACACCCTAAATCAGATAACATCAACAAAAGCCAACATGAAATAAAAACACATTTGCTGATGCAACCATGCCATTTTACCTGAGTGTCGTGACTTATATTTCATAGAACTCATGCCATCACACTCCAAATCGCAAGTGCAATGCTGTACCGGGTGAGCTTCTGAGCATGTTTACAACATCAGAAAATCCATATACTGTATATGAAGCTGGTTTTGTGATGCAAACATCAAAATGTATTAGTTTGGTAAAAGTTTTTGAAATTAAGTCTTTATCAATCAACCTTCTGCCCCCATAATTTGTGTGAAAACAAAAAAAAGTTGTTGGTGTTTTACTGCCACTATCAGGGGTTAAAGCAAAAAAAAATCCTGAGCCTGAACTTTTTTCCTGGGGTGAGGCGTGGCAGAGCGGGGCAGCACATGCAAAGCATGCAATGACTGTGGCAACTTTAATATTTGAAAGGATACTATGGCAAAGTTATTGCTTTCTTTATTCAAACTAATTTTTTTCATGAATATATGGTTGACCTGAAGAATGAAAGCTATATCATACACTTGGAAAATTGTGAGCTATATCACCGCTTATTGACACTAGGGGCGTGACAATAAACTTAGCTCAAGAGATGAGACAAAATGCAGATACTTGGTTCACTAGAACGAGACAATATTTTAATACTATTTTTAAGAAATTTTCAATGACAAAATATTTGTCTTTTAATTACAAAAAGTAAAACAATGCAGTTGTATTTAGAAATATTGTAACTAATCTAGGGCTATAACTAATGATTATTTTGGTAATCAAGTAATTTTCTGATTATTTTGACAACTGAGTAATCTGATATTTTTTAGTAACAAACAGACCTAAGTGAAAACCAGGCTTTAGTATGACTATTTATATATAAACTAACGATGAGGCAATAATAATTGGCTCAAATAAAATATCAAAACCAAGAAATTACATGATTGTGTTGAACAACACTGTTAAAATACATAATTTAATATGCCTATACATATTATGAACATAACCAACTTTGTACACTATGTATTAAAACAAATACCTGCAGAGGGCGGCAACGGCCTGGTGACGTTTCACTTTACAGCGTGATTAAACGATGTTTAAATCCATTTAATTTTAATATTTGGCCACATGCAAAATAACTTTTATTTTGAAATCGTGATGTACAAAACACGGCATATTTAGAAATAATATTTTTATTATGGATTTTCATGTTTTAGGACCAAAACTCTGGGTATGGGGTAATGTATTTGCTTTTATGCATTTGAAAAATGGCTAAATAAATGATAAAAGTAAAATGTTTCCAGTTTCCAAATGTTTCCAATGTGACATTTATATAATACAAGGACAATACAGAAACTGTGACATGTCACCCTCATCCTCAACTTTGACATATGGGTCTCCAATTAGCACCACACAGTTGTGAATATTCTTCACTTTCCTGTGGACAAGTCTATGTTTAGGGTGTCATTAGTGTCCGCTGTCTAGAGACTCATCTGCATATGCTGGAATTCAACTGCCTCAAACTGGCTCTCATTAGATATGATGTTTCCCGGTACAACTGTGAAAAAGATACCTCCCATTGAGACCGAACATATCGGAGGTGCCGCAGCTCTTGCAAATAAGGTGCGATTATAACACCTAAAGTGATTATTACATCAGTCCTGTGCTATTCACATCACAGCTACACTTATCACATCAATCACATATGAGGATTAAAACTGCCGCTGAGAAAGTCCAGCACAGGGAAACATCTTTAAATTACCATGGCACACTTCAGAGGCAGAGGGATGTCTTTGAATGCTGTGACAGCATTAGGTGAGGATGGAGTCAAAGAAAGACAGAGGGAGGTTAAGACCAGGCAGCGCAAACATGTTTCAGCTGTCAGTCAAAATCTGGATGTAGTGAGCACACATCACAGCAAGTACGGTGTGAGGTTTATGAAGGAAAGGTCAGAGCCGTCAATCAAGCTGGGAGAATAACAGGATAAAGTGACACAACGAGAGGTTCTCCAAGAAACCAAGGTTAATGTGCCGGTTGTGAAGCATGAGAGGTCTTCAATGTAGCACTGTAATTGTAGGTTAGCGCACTCAAAAATAAATGTTTGATAGCCCTTGTTCATTTTATGTTGCATTGTATTAATTGTAAAAAGCAATGTGAATATTATCAGTTTGTATTCAAAGTAAAAATACATTAATACAGATTTGAAACAACATGAGTGTACTTGAAAATATACTATAAGTAGTTTTATTTTTGGGTGAATCAAAGCATTATGGGGTAATTGACATTAAAGTATAGCTGAGATTTAGCTGACAAGGAAATAGCACTGATATAGCAATGCTTTTAATTTTCTAGGAAATTTATATTTGCATAAATGTCTTTTCAGATGCTATTATACCAAAAGAACTTCCAATAAAGCCACTTTATATTGTGTAAGTAAGTGAAAATGAATTGTTTTGTATTCAAAGTAAAAATACATTAATACAGATTTGAAACAACATGAGTGTACTTGAAAATATACTATAAGTAGTTTTATTTTTGGGTGAATCAAAGCATTATGGGGTAATTGACATTAAAGTATAGCTGAGATTTAGCTGACAAGGAAATAGCACTGATATAGCAATGCTTTTAATTTTCTAGGAAATTTATATTTGCATAAATGTATTTTCAGATGCTATTATACCAAAAGAACTTCCAATAAAGCCACTTTATATTGTGTAAGTGAAAATGAATTGTAGCTATACAGACACAAGAGTTTGAACAAGATAACTAATACAATCAAAAACATGCAGCACTACAAGTAAAATACACACAAAAAGTGTAGTTAAAATGTCAATGCTATTCTTAAAAAAAGACGAAATAGCAGGCAAGGAATCATATACGGTAAATATCATGAAACCTGTTAAGAATGTGCATGGGTCATATTTCATAATTAAAAGAAAGCTTATATTGTACTTGATGCAAATTAAATCTATTTTAGGACCATTACAGTTTTGGGGTTTTGACATGGGTTTTATTATAATTTAAACCTCTCGTTCCCAGTTCTTATTAACATTGCACAATGGAATAAAATATGATTTAAAAAGTAAAAATGTATTTATACATGGTTGTATATGATGTCCTATTAATTAACATTTTAAATAAACTGTAAAATTTCTACTGCAATTAAAGTAATAAAAATCTAATATGAATCGCCTTTGAGAATAAATAATTAAATAAAAACCAATCATTTGGTTTCATTACCATGAAAATAATGTCACATTAAAAAAAATGCTTAATGATCTTGAAAAGGGCCTAATTTAATTTGATTTTGATGTAATGTGACCCTGACATGTTTTCATTCGATTCACCCATACCATGGTCCTTGATCTGAGTGTGTTTGTATACTTCCCTTCCGGTGTGTAAACTTCAGAAGAAGACAATTATTCTAAGGTCTGGTCAACATCTCCTTAACTGGCAGCAAATGAATTGTTTTGGCTCAACAAGGTGTTTTGCTTAAGAGGGACATGAAAGTTTACTTAGCGTACAAGCTGTTGCACATCAAAGCAGTGGGCAGCCTTTAATCCACAAGACCACAGCTATTGTTATGCCTGTTACTTAGTCAAATCCCAGGCAGTTCCCATATCACACAAACACTACTCGGAACGGCGTAAAAAAATATTGTTTAAGATGAAAGACTGACTTGATCCACTTCAATAGAGTGCTGATTGATTTGCTAAACATACTACCGCTCAAAAAAGAGAGAAACTAAACAAACAACAACAAAACAAAAAAGTAAGATTGTGTACTAATTAAAGCTGACAGTGAGAGGTGAGATCAAAGACATGAAGATCAAGAACACACATTTGTAGGAGTAACACCTCTTCAGGCGAAAACTAATACACTACACAGCACATTACAACTCATCAGCTTGGTCGTCCTTGGGCTTAGATCAAAGCAAGAGCCATCTAACTAGGTGGCTTTGTGAACAGAAACAAAGTAACAACTGATCAATAGATCACACTATGTATAACTATAAATATACAGCTGATATTTGTAACAACAGTACTTACAATGACAATACCTTGCCCTAAAACATTTACTATGGTAAAAACAGATTCTGCCTAAATTTAATAGTTACTACATATATTGTAGCTAATAAAACTGGTAATTAGGTACTATCCATCAATGTAATCAAAAACATAATTAAATCATTAATTAATTTAACATTAACATTGCTAATGCATTAATCATAATAAATTTTTTAGGTTAACTTATAAATATACTATTGTGCATAAATGTATTAAACGTGTATTAAAAATGTATTAAAATAAGCATTATCCAAGATCAATAAATGCAGTAAAAGTACTGCTTATTGTTAGCTTGTGACATCTAATGGATTAACTGGTTATTGTAAAATGTCACCAATTAAAATACGGTGCTTCCAATCAGACTTCAAAGTATTTTGGTGAAAGTCCATCTGTCACCTGGTAAAAGCTAGGCAAATACTTTGTTTGTAACCAAAATAGTTGTTTGATGTGAATTACTGCAGAGACAATGAAAAAACTGAAATTCAAGAGACATTTAGAAACCAAACACTCAAGCTAAAACGTAAAGCCTAGATTAGTTCCTCTTTACTTTCCATATAATCAGAAAGCTCAGAAACAAGATTTCATTTCACTCTCTTGTGCATCTCAGGTTGGTACAGTATACTGAACTAGAGGCACAAGACTTGTCAAGACTTGAACATTGGGGTTCAAAAGGAATGAAAGTGTGTCCTCCTTGATCCAAGATTTCATCAAGAGCTCTCCTCCCATGAGTCCTGTGGCCAAAATACATCCTACTACTCTCTCATTCAAGTTAATCCTAACAAATATTAATTTTCCCAACACTGACCTTTTATTTTGTGTGAAATCTGCAGTGTCTTTATTTCGGTCCATTAGCAGCTTGCCCCTTTTTCAGGGTCGATGACGACCTCAATATCGCAACACAGCTGTGCAACACCAGCCAAGTGCATTGATGCGTGCTTGTTAAATGGAAAATATTGTAGAAACCCCTTACTGTGTTTACTACTATTCATTAAGGTAATTGCCCAACAATAACAATTAAATGGATTGTTGTTTGTCACAACCACCACCATTAATGGACTAACGTTTCCTCTGATCTCCACTAGGGGTCCCCACTGCATATGTTCTGTCTGTATCCCTTGCAACCGATGTTCAGAAAGTTTCAGAACTAAAACCATCATGTGGAAATAAATGTGTAAATTACATTTCAAAAGCATCTCTTTGCTTAGCAGGGATAACTCACTTGAAACACAAATCAAAAGCCGTAATGGAAGCTGTGTAAAGGTGCCTGCAGTTGGCCTCTATTGAATCAGCAGCAGTGGGATTGTGCAAGAATATGGAAATAGAGCAGAGGATGATGTTCATAACCGGTCTGCCATGTGAGAAATATGAGGTGGGGAGGATTAGATGTGCATCTGACTGTTCTGACACAACTGGTCTCATCTTCTTTTCAAATTAGCTCTACTCATGAAGCGCTGTGTGCTCCCAGTCCATTAGATGGTACCCTTGCAAATAAAGCCTCAAATATGACAGCCATTTTCATATAAGCCCATTTCAAATCAGGTTAAAAGCCAAATGAAATGCAGTTCACAGCTCACTTCCATAATGTGAAATATTTCCAAGTGAAGCAGGAGAAAACTGTAAAGGAAGACTTCACAAATAAGGGAGATCAGTAATGTCAGCTGTAAAAAAAAGTTCTTTCAGAGGTGGAGCAAGTTATTGCATTCTGATGAATGATTCAGATTTATTTCTCATATATCCGGAATGTGTATTCAGGAAGCTAATAAGGTCAATTTTGATTGCACGGTAAGTTTAAATGCTTTCAAAATTCCTTTCAAAAAGTATTCCCACAGCAAGTTGAACACAACTCAAAACAGATGCTTTGTTTGGATTTTTCGCAGTTAGCAGCCCATTAGGCTGTCCCTGCAGCAAATGATCCATCGAGCGCATAATTGATGTCAACAGATGCCTTCGTAAACATGGACAGCAGCCAGCTGCAATTGCAGCGCGGCAAGTAGTGTGCAAAAATGTCTTACCCTTGAAGAGCTTTTTCTCCAAACCAGTCTCCTTTACCTAAGGCCCGCAGATAGACAGGGGTCCCATTGGGTGGATCTTCTCGAGTAACGTTCACCTGCAATTACAGGTTATTGGTCATGAAAAGGAAGGCTAACCACTGATTTGTTCCTAAAATATCAATTATTTAACTTTTACATTTGTTGTGGGTTGGCATTTGTCACACTGATGATAATAAATGATAGAGCAACAATAGAGAGAGTGTATTTGAAGGGACGAAGGGTCTTGAAAATGCATTCAGATTAATGGCCAGTTCAAGGAAGAATTTTGAAGAACTGACACACAGCTCTTTTCCTTACAATATTTCACAGTGACCACCACGTCTGTCAAGCTTCAGAAAGACAATGAAACTTAAAGTCTAAATCCTCTGAAGTCAGTCAATAGCTTCATGTGAGGAACAGACTGAAATGTATGTAGTTATTATTCACTAAACATCTTACCCTTCACTAAAGTTCTCGAATCTAAAAGGTTCATTGGGAATAGTTTCCAGCTGAAATGAACACTAGTTGCAGTAAAAGACCAACCACTTTACAGGGCAGATTATTTATTAATAAAGACTTATTTTCATTCAGTTACAATTTTTTGTAGTCCACCCAACATTAAAATGTATTCCTTCATTGAAAGGGAAGATTGTCAGTGAATAATGACTTAAATTTCATTAAGTTCTTCATACAAAGATTTTGTATAACTTTCAAAGATTTGGAAGATAGCACACAGCTCATATGGACTTTTATGATACTTTTTATGTTGGTTTCTGTCGTTTTTGGAGCTTGACAGACGTGGTCATAATTAAGTACTGTATTGCTGTATGTGAAAATGCTGCATGAAAATTCTTCAAAACGTCTGAGTTCCCTTTTAAGACTTTTGACTTTTTGTCTTCAACCTGAATACAGGTTTGAACAACATTAGGGTGAGTAAATGATGACAGGAAAGAAACTTTTCTTCAAAAGTTGTTCATGCATACAACCTTAGTGGTGTTCTGTCTCTGTGCTGGAAACGATCTTACCTTTCCCTTGCTAATGATAAAGAACGTGTCCCCTCTGGCACCTTGTCTGATAATGTACTCTCCATCACTGTAGTGAGTCTGAGAAATGAGATAAAGAAAGAGAGGCAAAGAGAGAGAATTACTAAAGTGTCATTTTTTTCCCCTTCTGGTCCAATTTTCACAGTGTTGCTCCATCACAATCATCCTCAAGCCATCATGAAGACAGTGCTTCAGTCACGCAACAGGCCGCTTCAAGGCTGCAACACCAAAACAAGAACAGAAGTCCTCATAGCAGTAATCCACGCTACCGGCAAACCACAACAGCACCTGATGCAAATGTAACTCTGAGAAACTTCGGCTGAAACCTCAATATTTAGACTACAGTTATTTTAAGGCCTGAAACAAACCCTACAAAAGTGCTTGAATGCTGATTCCTGATTTCACACACCATTATATGGTGTATACTAAGGCAAACATCACTATTATTTTACTCATACTTAAGGGCAGTGTTCGAACTAGGGCTTACAATGACTTACAAAGATACATAACAGCTACAAGTGTATGCACTACTTGCTTTATGCAAGCACTATATAGGATAAATCACTATACAGGATTTACCCTATTATACTTTATCGACACGAATTGATAGGTGAAACAACAAACTGCACCCACAAATAGTCTATATACAAAGCATCAGGCTGTCTTTGAGTTCACATGAACAACGGTTAAAGTTACTCGTCGTCAGGCTACAGAAGAACACCATAATTCCTCCGTTCAATTAGGCCTAAGACATCGAGAGTCACGCAGACCTATAACAACCCAGCCACAACACATAATTGCGAATAACATGCCTTACCTTAACACAGAATCGACCACAAAGTCCAGCGTTTATATTTTTTCTACGAATCTTTGAGTTAACATGTACTAAACATGAGTGGAATTTGCACCGCAGCGCCCCCACACCTCGATGCTCATGACAAGAATAGCATGTATAGTTATCTTTATTGAAGTGAATTAGGTTTAAATCGCCGTCATGCATGAATGAATGATATTTTTGCAATTTTACACATAATAATCCACGATGATCACATTACACAAAACTGAAATTGCACGTCAAAATAACACATTGTCAATATTTTTTGAGACCCCCCAAAATTTCACAAATCCCGTTTTCAGGGGAGCCCATGTCTTATTAAGGGGAGCCGAGCTCCCCCGTAGTTCGCACCCTGCTTAAGGGTCTGAGTAAACCCTTTACCTTAAATACTGGTGTGCAATTTTTCTACTTTTGTTTCAACTACAGTTATGAAAGATACCTCAAATTGTGTGGGGTTGTTGTGGAGAGGTGTGTTGGGTGGTGTTGTTTTTTGAAGCACTTGGACTTCAGATTATAGAGAGCAGGATGTTATAAAGGCTTGGGGATGCAATCTGTTGACTTGGGCCAATAAATAACCACCTAGGATCACCTAGAACACCATAGGAACTGCATAGCAATGTGATGAAACCTCTCAGAACACCATAGCAACCGCATAGCAATGCCCTGGCAACTAGCCACAGCATCCATGGCAATTTTTCAAGCACCACTTACTTTTTCTCCAGCAAAATATCTTTGTTTCTAAACGTGTTTTATGCAATTCATAACATAATGCGAGTAGACCATTTTCTTTTACAGCCAGTTTTCTTTGGTCAAGTACTTTAATGGCAGAGCAACAGCTTGAAAAGGATCTTGTATAAAAATCTCACTGATTATAACAAATAGTGGCAAAAGGAATGCTTGGAATACAAACTACTGGCACTCAAAAGCAAAATATATAAATAACCCTTAATTTTTTTTTTTCATTAAATTAATTTTAAAATGTACTTATGCATTTTATAAAAAAATGCACTGTGAACTAACACGAATGAACACTAAACAATTGTATTTTTTAAACTAACATTAATAAATGATAATAGATAATAAATGCTGCAAGAAATGTATTGTTGATTTTTAGTTCATGTTAGCTAATCATGAACTAATGTTGGCAAATAAGACCTTTTTGTAAAGTATCACCAATAATAATAATAATAATTTTTTACCAAATATCACAGGCATAGCATAAATAAGACATATTTGTTACCTTGAATTCTAAAGCTTGTTACCAGCACAGTAACCACAAAGAATATTAAGTATACAACAAGAGCAATCTGACCTTCTTTCTTTTCTTTTTTTTTGACCTTGCTTGATTTTTTATTTACCACATTTGATTGACTTAATGAAATAATAATTATTATATGTTTCTACAACCATGATGCAATGGGATTGTCATGATATATGAGTTTTCTTTGCGTGTACTGTTCCTGACAACAGCCTATGTAACTGAACTATCTGTCCTCTATTGTTGGTCAAGGCCAAACAAAATCCCTTTGGGTAGAAGTTTCAACAGAGCTCATCATCTCAAGCCCAATGACCTGGACATCAAGACCAAACACATTTCTCATAATTTCAAAGATCAAGCCCAGTTCCTGAAACCCTGAAAGATCTGATTAGAAAAATTAGTTCTTCAGTTTACAGCAGTAGAATGAATGGGCTGCTCCTGCAGCATTGTGCAGTTCATAGGTCTATTACTGAGCTCACCTTGAGGAAGTAATAATGTTGAGGTACTTTTGTACTGTTAGGATGTATTATTAAATACTACCTCAACATCTCTCAACAGCATCTGTGGCTTGCTGAAAATAATTCTGACTCATCCAGCATTTTTAAGCACAAATGAAAAACACATTTATAGTAATGTCCATACAATAGAAGTGCACAGGGCAAGGTATTCCAGAGAGTTTAAAGCAGAAATGTGAAAATTTTACATAAAGGCTCAAGAAAAAATGTTTTTTTGTTGTTGTTTTTTTTAACTGTATATTATTTGTTAGTGCTATAAAGCTTATTTACAGAATTTTAATGTAAAATGTCCTACTTTTCTTTGTGGATGAATTCTGGCTATACAATTCCTGTCTGTGGAGTTTTACTAGAATATGCCGAATATCGCAGAATAGCATATTACCATACTATTTTTGCTGCAGTATATACTGTGCAGAGAATGCAAATTTTCCGTATGCATAAAACATCTGGAAGATCTACTAAATTTGCTAAAATATACAGTACAGTATATAACAGAGCGAACTGTGTGGAATACCTGATTTTTACGTGGCCTACTTTGTGCGATGAATAAACTGGAAGTAATATTAACTGCAATTTTTAACATTTTATTCTAGACATTATCCGACTGGACTGCTAAATGTTCATACATTTTAACCCCTGTGCTATGCTGAAAATCGTTTACCTAATTTGGTGATCCTGGTCAAAAATGACTGGCCTTTTAAAAAAATTGCCTGTACTTCTCGCATTATGCTATATCATCACCAAATCTTGCATTCAATCTTTTTGGCAACTTGTTTTCTTTTGATTAGCACAGGTCTTGCATTTCTTTTTGAAACTGACTGGTTGTAGGCCTTTGATCTGAGCTTATGCACCTTAGTTTTTGAGAACAAGATGCATTATTTTGGATAATTTTGATAATGTCCACTCAAAAACTGAGGTGCATATGCTCATATCAATGAGACCTATGATCAGTCAGTTCTGAAAATAAATACAAAGCCTGTGCTAAATGAAAGAAGACAATTTTATATATAAAAAAAAAATAATCCAATATGTCAATATTATAGCATAATTTTTAAGTACAAAAAAAAATAGATAAGTTGTTATACCCTGTGTGAGCGAAGTCAGTAACACTTCGCAGTTCTATTGCGATAAAATCAATAGCATCAATATTAGCATATTATTAACATATAATGTTAATATTTTCGGGAAAAAGAAAATCCTCATTTATTGTGGCATAATCCCTACTGATTTACTATTTAACTTTAACTGCGACCCTTCTCCAGAAATCCCCCCTCTTTCCACTCTTTGCCCTACATTCTTTTATTCCTACCATAAGGCCTCACACATCTGATGGAAAAATCTGACTCTCTGACCCATGTTGCTCCGAGTAGAACAGTGCAGTGTGGGAATGCCTGCCAACTCCAGCACTTCACAAGCATGTCTGGGATAAAGCCCAGACATAGCTAACTGCCGTAGACACAGGATAACAGAGTGCAATAGGGATGTCCGCTTTTTTAAGCGGCCTTGGTTTCAGATGTGTTTTTCCTATTCACTTTCTTCATATAAGCTTTTCAAAAAATCTTCAATAAAGACACACAAACCAAACCAACCAGATCTGAAACAAAAAAAGCATGTGAAAATTAGTTGGGAAAAAAGACAAAAGCACAAGGCTTTTGTTGTTGTTTTGTTTAAATGAGGAAATGTTTATATATGAAGAGTTCATTTGCAAAAACCGATAACTCCATTTTTATTTTTTTCAGAAATCACGTTTTTTTTATCGCGCATTCCAAGTAATATCAATCAAACTGCAGTTTGGTTGTTTTGATTAAGTAATAATAACTTAAACGAATACAGGTAATTTACAAAATTAAAGTTCATTGAAAGTATGTTTTTTTTTTTACATATTAAAAGTTTGTTTTATAGCAAAAGCAGATATTTAAATTAAATATTACATTTTAAATAATAAATACCAAATACCAAATACCAAAAATTAAATATTTAAATACCAAAAATACAAATATTTTTTAAAACATCAGCAAGTAAAATACTGCAACATGACAATACAAACAACAATAAAATCAGAAATGGACTTTAACTGTCAGCACTCCCGCTTAATAGAGACCATCTGGGTTTCGTGATCCTGGTTCACGCACTTCAATCCATGCAGTGCTTTTCAGAAAGTCAGCGCGAGTTTATTTCACAGTGACAGTATGAGGTAGTGATGGGAAACCGAGGCTTTCTGAACCGTTTGAGGCTTTCATCAAATTGTGCCGAAAAACGGTTCATTACTCGAAGCTTTTTATCACAGTGCGCATTAGCGACATCTGGTGGTCAGACTCGGTTTCTCCAGCCTATCGAACGAAACATCGAGGAGCAGAGGATGGTTTGAAAAAGTTTTTAATCTGTGCCAACTCGTATCATGCGTAGTCCGGTCAATGGATTCACATATTGATCAATAATATAAAATATAAAA